ACTTGATCGACAGAGCTCTGACCTTGGGAAGCAAGAATGTGAGAAATCAAGATTTCAAGCCTAATTTAAAGGAAACGGTCGCCGCCGAGACAATGCCGGTAAAAAATAAGAAGTCTTTTGAGTACTCTACTGCAAAATGGAAATCTGGGTCAACGAACCGCTCAAAGAAGAGTTATCAGGATCGAATTAAGCTGGAGACCACCAAATTATCAGAATCAATTAAACCTCGACCAGCGACTGGCGAAGAATTGCCCAAATTTGAGAAAACCAAGTATGAAAATGAAACCCCAGAATTTGTGTGCTTAAGTTCAGATTCCGAAGACCACAACTCGGTTGATCTTCCTGACCAACTAAATATACTGGATAAAATCTGGGTAACGGATACTGAAGAATTGGTCGTGTTCAATGAAGGACAGTTTGGAATTAGTGGCGTTGAATCGGAGCTCCTCTCATTACGTTTTGACACATGCGTCTCGTCTGCAGTTGCAATGCCGTATGCGAATCAAATAATGGAAGCACGCGTGCAGGAATACTTATCCCAGCGGTCAATCAAGCTCGTAAGTTCGGAAGTAATTTACCACATAAGCAGAAACGAATTCCAGGTCAGTTTGCCAATTTTCAAGGAAAATCCAAGCCTTCTGCCGAGTGAAAAAGAATTCGACATAATAAATGGGAAGCTCTACACGATTTTATTCTTCAAGCAACATTCCTTTTTAGTGGAGCTCAAATTTGAAAATAAATCTATCAACTATTTTGATTCGTTGGAGGGCTACATAGACAAGCAAGAAATGAACCAAATGTTTAACAGTTTCAAGAATTTGCTGTTCAACAAGTATTCCCTTCGTAATTGGAAAGTATTTAACAGAGGTTCGGTTCAACAATTTCACAACGACTGTGTCGTTATTAGTTTGATGAATCTTGAAATTCGACTTCAGAATTTAGACCATCTTAAAAATGTGGATCGCAATAACGCTCGACAATTTCGGTATCAGATGGTGGCAGATTTAATGAAGACGACGCCAATTGGGAGGACATTTTTTGACAAATGTGGACACGCTGCAGAAGTCATTAAACAAATACAAAAAAGACAAGCAGTGAGAAACGAAATCTCAACAATGTTGACGACAAGAAGTAAAATTTCAAATATTAAGAAGAAATTAGTTCTGTTCGAAGGGGTCAAGCCTCAGGTAAAGTTTGCAGTCAATATGGACCAGGAATCAAAAACCCTGGAAACCAGGGATGTAGCGAAATATGATAGCAAATACAGCAAGCTCAAGATTATGAATAATACTTTCATATTGTCAAATACAGATTCAAATTTGCAATTCCAGTCTATTAACATACGTGCTTGAATCCACATTTGTCAAAGAAAATTATATATACATAATACAGGGATATAAAAAAATGAACAGTTTCCAATAAAATTGATCTAAATACCTGCATACAATTTTAGAAACGAGTTCCTTTATTCTAAAGTTTTTCTGGTTAGGAAACATCTGCTTCAATTAGATTATCACATTAATAAATTCATAAACTACAGCGAGGTCGTAAAAATCAAACCATATTTCGAAGGTAACTCCGGCAACTGTTCTTGAAGATTTTCGAAAATCAGCATTACTGCGCTTCATGTTCATTCTTAGAAAACTAGCATTAAATCCCTACTGGCCAAGGCACATACATAGATAGTATCTATTAGATACTCTAACTGCCCGGTAATAACGAGAATTACGAATTTCACTGCATATGTACATAAGTACTACGACTGAAACCGTAATGGGATTATGAAATTCACGAAGTACTTGAACATATTTACATAATCCCGCATTCATTCAATTCAAAATTCTGAGTTCGCCCAGGTTAAGAATTGGTCCAAACTTATTGGGCGGGATTCTTACTTCCTGTTCATCGTATTTCGCTCGCAAAATTGCATGCGCCTCTTAGAATAAGAAATCCAGAAATTGACGAAAAACTTGAACATATTTACATAATCCCGCATTCACTCAATTTAAAATTCTGAGTTCGCCCAGCTTAGGAATTTGTCCAAGCTTACTGGGCGGGATTCTTACTTCCTGTTCATCGTATTTCGCTCGTAAAATTGCATGCGCCACTTAAAATAAGAAATCCAGAAATTCACGAAGTACTTGAAAATATTTTAATAATCTTGCATTCACTTAATTCAAAATTCTGAGTTCGCCCAGGTTAAGAATTGGTCCAAACTTATTGGGCGGGATTCTTACTTCCTGTTCATCGTATTTCGCTCGTAAAATTGCATGCGCCGCTTAGAATAAGAAATCCAGAAATTCACGAAGTACTTGAAAATATTTTAATAATCCTGCAATTTGAACGAGTGGTGGATAAGTCGGTAACGACTAAAAGGATTTTACTATCATCTTAGCCTACATTAGCATCTTATTTTCGGTGAACAATTGGCTTGCCAGCAATTTCATTGTAAGCCAAGATTCATTAGCGTTTCCGAATTCCCGTGGCGGGAGCGCAAAGTATCCCTGGATCAAATTGCAGGTTGCCTTCCTTATTATATTTCATATCATTAATTATTCCCCAGTATTAATTCATGCAGGGTTTTGCAAACAGTCCGGAAGGTTATTCAAATTTAGTGCAAACATGGTAGCTTTGTGAAACGTTTTGAATTTGTAAGTATTTGGCTCGCAGGTAGGTGAAAGTGACGAAAAAATGACGTATTACATGTAAATTTCATTTTGCCCCAGACGGGGGTGTGGTCAAGTGCATGCAGCCCCCACATACTTTCCATATGGTTAATTCCAGAAATACAATGAATTTTACTTAAATCTCATTTTGCCCCAAAAGTGGGTGTGGTCGAGTGGGGGAGAGTAACAAAAAGGGTATATCGTGTTATTTTTGGATAATCCGTGCATTTGGTACAAAATCTCACTTTGCCCCAATCCGAGGGGGTGTGGTCATGTGGAGCCACACCCCTTTTCCTTTTAATTACGCCCCAGTGGGTTATATGGCCATATAAGACAAGATCCGGTTCGGCTCAACCCGAGGGTTGAGCTTCGCTGAGCTGGGCTGGGCTGCGCTGGGCTAACTTCCCACACATTACATTTGTATGCAAACATTAAATTGTTACCCAAGTTAGTCAGATTCCCTATGTTACTTGACTAATTTTATAATGCATTAGCAATGTATGGCTTCGTAGTTTGGATTAACAACATAGAAATTGGATCTTAGGAAGTATAAGGTGCATTTGGCATTGGGAAGCTCCTTATGTATCACACATACCAACTACTCCGGCTCATCTCATCTAATTTTACAATGCGATTGACATAATATTAAACATTAAGTTCCTTGAGTCAAAATCATAAGAAAACATCGATTTTGTTTCCAGCAATTCAAATTTAATGATAAATGCATAATGATGAATGTTTTGAGAGAATCACGCTGTCTGAATCAAAAAATGGAAGCTAGTTGGAAATATATGCAAATGTGTAAATCAGGATAAATGCGAAGTCGTTCGAATTTGGGTGCGTGGAATTGTAGCGTGATTTATTTAAATATGTTGGTTTTTTAGGAGGTGATGTTCATCGGAATATCAAACCATACATACTTATCTATGTGTATGGTGAATAAGGTCTAAATAGAAATGTACTTAATTTAAATTAAACGTGCAAACTATGCAAATATTAACTTTACGATAATTATATAATTAAATATCCAAACAATTATCAGTATACACAGAAGCACTAAAATCCCACATAATTAACCCAAAGATCATGTTAAACGTGTTGCTATAATTTTATGATTTTTTTTATTCTTTTAAAATTATTTATTTAATAAATTTAAATTAAACTACAAATACTGAAACTAAATTATATTTATTTAAAAAAGTAATTGCTTTTTGACCAGTGTAATTTGCATATTCATCTAGTATGTGAAGAATGTAAAATATTTAAAGTGCTTAAATTACTTAAATTACTAATTAAGTACATGTGCATCTACGTACTAAACCAGTTGTAAATGTGCACGAAATACACTTATCGATAGACGAATATTTTTTTCTTTAAATTATGGACTTCAAATAGATACGTGCAAATTTTCATATTTTCATATTTTTGTGCATATCATTCGCTTATATTTATGTATGGCCAAATTCTAACTTTTTTATTTTTGAAGCCAAGCAGGATACTTTATACATAACTGGATGAATTATTTTTGCATAATGGTAAATTTAAATAACTTGTTTTCGTTGGCAAATCGTCACTACAGTGTTCTATTTGTGGGTAATGATTAAATTAGTGTTTCGCCGTCAACTTAACATATGTCAAAAAGTCGTGTTCTCAAAACGCATCACTATTTATCAAATTCAATACTTTGATGTAAAATCATCTTACTTAAAATAATCGTACCGTATTCAGACAAAAAAGCATTTTAAGGATGAAATTATATTCAATTTGTTTCTAATAAATCAATGTAGTCGATCTAGACAATACGTAGCAGCTAGAAGGTTGAATCGATGAAGGATTTAATTTGAGCAATTTTAAACATGACTAGTTTATGTACTATTCACTCGCTGCATTATTTTATAATCGTAACAAGTAATATCAATTTAAGTGACTTGCTTGCTCGCAAATATTTTTTGGAAGCTTTCTGAATTTTTGTGCTAAATTTATCCCTAATTGAAGAGATATACGTTTGCGCATAGTTTGTATTATTGTGATGCTGAAATAAGCACTTTATCCTAAATTTTAACGATTCAATAAAAGGAACAATACATATTTACAACGCTACTTTGTGCTATTGTTTATAATTTTACAATGTAAGCAAATTTAAGCTGAGTTTGTAGGAAGGGAATCGTGCATGGATTTTGTGACCTAATATTAACTTTATTATTATGTCCTTGCATCAGCGCTAAGCAATTATGTAGCAAACTATTCTGATTCAATGTTCAGATTCATTATACCAATGAATTTTAGTTAGAGGACCTTACGTTTTGATCTCGAACGGTTTTTCGGATTCACGATTTAGGGAATAAATCCAGGAAAATTCTCGTATGGATGGAACGGGCGTTCCAATGCTGACCTTTGTGGCCTTTCGACAGGTCGCGGTTGGACTGTATCCATCTCTATTTCCTCGGGAGCCACCCTATTATTCCGTCTCAAGAACTTGAAAATCCTCATGGTCCAATTAACTGAAAATAATTAATATGCAAAAGATGAATAAGGGTATTTAATCTGTTGAAAAGCAAAATGTTATTTAAATCTGTATAAAACTGGCGCAAGTTACTTACAACTGGGGCCTCCCATATTTCGAAGATTATTCCACACCTTGTACCTTGCAACGGCTATTACGGCGATTAGTACGAGAACCTCAATCACGTCCAACAACGTTAAGCCAGTTATCATTGAGACTGTCCCACCAACGAGGCCTTGCCGGAATTAAAAACAAATTCTCGCTCTAATTTTATTAACATTACATTATTATGCACGCCTTACCAACTTCTTCAAAGGTGCTGTATCTTGCACTCCTTCGTGTTGGATGGACCGAGTCCACCATAAAGAACACGTTCACAACTGATATGGTGAACTTCTTATCTCCCCTGTATGAACAATTTTTTCGCGTCATTGTGTTTGGTGGTTATATTTTTACATCACATACATGGGACCATCGTACATATCCTTGTAATCATTCATACGTCTTTCTGTCATTTGGCTCGAGGTCACTGAAGTCCGGTATTTGATGTCTCGACAGTTAGGCAAACACTTTGGGCACACACGTTTCAGTCCTTGGTTATGCATTTTTTCTTGAATGCACATAACATATTTAATATTGCACTTTGACAATTAATAAGCGCCTTTGTCTGATTAAAATACTCACCTTCTTCCTCTAGAACGCAAAGGTTTAATTGTTTAAGGGAGCACAAAGTTCGCCCTCGGGGTCCTAAAAATAGTACTAATAATGATGCATGCCGCTAAGATATGAGGAAACTCGGTTCATGTGTTACCAGGAGATGAGACTTTGGCGCATTCGCACTTTGCATAAACTGCTTTTGCGAAACATTCCTCCAAGCAATTCTGTCTGGAATACTTCCTGTAGAACTCCAAATGAGCATCACCCTCGTCATCGCTGAAGTAACAGCCACGCCGGTCCTTAGTTAAATGATTATATTGAGGATTAGTGGGTTCTTTATTTATTTTGAAATGCTAACCAATTCAATATCTTTGGCATCTTTCTCGGCGAGGAGGACTTCTGGGTATATCGCAACGTCGATCTCGCGGCCATATGGCAATGTTACTCCAAATTGTTCTACTTGCATCTCGTCTCGTGGATTGTTAATGCCCAACTGGACAGAAATGAAATAATTAATTTTACGATGCAAATTTGTTGCCAATTATCCTATTATCAGCTTACCGTAAACCCGGTGCCATCGCTGTGAATGCAAGCTTTGTTGTCCAGTTCTTCTCTTATGGAGAATGCTAGTCCGGATAATTTACCTGGTGCCATTTGCCTCCATGGTACCGCAGGGCGTTCCGTTGTATCGCTCTTTTTGTTAACATTTGCAACATCCTCGTCTAAATCTGCTTGCTTCCACTGCTCGACTTCCTCATTGGTGCTTCCCCCCAACTCGGATTGAATTGTTGAATGGCTGTGGAAATCCAAATGTTATTGTTATTATTAATTGTGCATTCGCTTAAAATAATAAAATAGCCTATGACTACCGCCGTGTTGCTTTCCCAGGAATCCCGTTGAAGACGCATGTGCTTCCCCATGCAGAATAGTGTTGTTTAAATAAAACACTGCAGTCGTAACTTTGCCCGTTCAAGAGGCATCCTTTTATGATTTCAGCGCAGTTTGTCATTCCCTAGAGATAATGATCATTTTTAAATGTATTGAATTAGCTAGCGTTACGCGACATTAAAAAGTAACGTATACTCAAATACCTCCCTTATGAAAGGGATAATCCTCTGTTTCACTCCCTCATATGAAACGTTGTCCACATGAGTTTCATGTACGTTTATATGCCTGGCAAACGAGGTGTGCTCGTCCTGAATTTTGATACCATTCTTGCTAGCATATGTTGCGTCACCATCACAGGTGTGATCGATGACCTTCATTGCTTCTTCAACGTCGTTTTGGGTCCATGCAGATCCATCGTTGGCCAGGACCTCAATGCCCATTCCCAGTTGGTGCAATTTTCTATAGTAATTTGTCATTAATTGCAAGCATAGGCACAAATATAATAAACACTAATTACACAAATTAGACCTACCTCATAGCATCATTAATTGAGGACAACTTAAATCCTCCATTTGGACCAATGCCAACTTGTGGAAATTTAGCATCTCCAATGTTTATTTCCTCGGTTTCGAATGTAACAGTCAGTGGATGCCCCATTGTTCTCCGAATTCCTTCCCGGATGATGTAAAAAACAATACCCACACACAATACGAACACGAGCAGCCAGAAGGCCCTGAAACAGTAAAAAATTATTAAATTAATGAAGCTTTGCTTCTCGTTCCCCACACATTTAACTTTGACTCTGGTTTAACGAAGCCGTAAATTTGGAGAGCTGAGAGAATAATTTGGAACAATCTTGGCTGGTGAGATTTTGTTCGTTTCTAATGATTTTACAAAGAAACTTGAATACTTAACTCTTGTTTTGACACCTTATTTTGCAGAAATGGTGTCTCACTTCAATTCCAGTGTGAAAATTCACTCAACCCTGGTACTCTTGATCTGTTGCATAATGTTTAGGGAAATTACTCCAACTGACGAGGATGTCAATTGGCTCGACACGATACATAAGGGTGAAATTGTATCAGGCTGCTTATGTCCCACTAATGCCTTAGGAACCTACCGCTATTTTTGTGGGCACGAATTAAAGCCTCAGAACAGCACGATCAAATGTGCCCCGGAGGGTACTTACAGGTGCACCAATTCTGGACATTTTGCAGTGCAGGAACTAGACTGTAATCAGTTTGGAAAAAAATGCATACCACAAGTTAAGACTCTCAAAGGGGAACCATGTGAAACGTGCAAAATCCATACTCATAAGCTCTGTAGAAGTTAATCCGGATTAAATATGTACGAGTGGTGGATAATTTAAATTACAATTCTATGAAGATTCAACGCATGAAAGTCGCTTGTAATACTTGCATATAAATATGTAAATATGCAAATTGCGTCACTGTTTACATACTACTAAGTATGGGGCATTCTCCTAAAATTATTTTATCGGAAGTTTGAAATAAAATGTCTATTCATGGAAACTTTTTTTTCTCACCTGGCTAAAACATGCAGCCCAGCTTGTGCACTTTGCTTTAAACCGGGAACTTTGTGAAGAATTCGGACACACGCATTTTCCTGGGATGGTTGGAACTTCATCAAATTTCCCCACCGGATGCGAAGATTTCTCCATCGCCGTTTTATAATGTCAACGAGCCGGGGATAAGAGCTACGCTGAATATAACGGCAGACCTCGCGGGACCCTTCGTCGTCTTGGGCAGCTCGCATATCGATTCCCCCTTCGACATCCATGATCTCCAATTAATTAACGGAAGTAATAATTAACACCATCATTGGATAATTGTCTACATCTCTGTCAGTCAAATAATTGCTACATCTCGAATTGAGATAAAGTTTTACTGCTTTCACTTTCACATTTTTATGTAATTTACCTGCGACAAACTCGGATGCAGGCGGCTTAGGATTTTGTTAAACAGCATGAGAGTAATTTGCTTGAAATATGAAGGATATTTTTAACTAAGAATACAAATCAGTAAAATTTTTGTGGCCACTTTCACTCTTGACGTCACGTTTTTGAGTCATACAGTAAAAATAATCTTGGATTTATATGCGTTACATTTCGTCGTCTTGGTGATTTCGAAGTTTAATGTCCTCGCCGACCTCCGCGGTCACAACTTATATAATAATTTACACCATGCAGAGATAATTGTCCACGTACATATCAACTAAATAACTGCTACATCTCCACTTGAGACAAAGTTTTGCTACTTTCACTCGTGAAGTTTACATTTTTAAGTCAGGCAGAAACAACAGCCTCAGTATTTAGACGGTTTCAAAAAAGTTTTAAAAAGTAAAGTTACTTCAAATACGAATAATATTTTAGCGAATCGTAAAAACACAAGTATGCAAGAGAAAGTTGGCCTGAGAAACTAGGTGTGGTCAGGATGACTCATTGGTCACACGACTAAGAAAAACACACGTATGATAAGAACAAAAGAATTTAAAAAGAATGTATTCTTACCTTTCTGCGTTTTTGATTGACAGATTTGTGTATGGAATAGTAGGATTAATTGCAGGTGAGTGAGTAAGGTATGGAGAAATTTCTTTGTTCTCTGTCCCCGCTCTTTGTTCTGGATATGCATACGTATGAAGTAACATATTCAATTTTTGTGCAATGTTAGTTGCTCATCTTTTTCATGATATGCATTTTATTTTAATCCTCGTCGAATTTTAATCGACGCATATATGTATTTAACAAAACTACATAAAAATATATTTCGAAGAAAATATTCGTTTAATTTTTTTCAAGATATTCTCACATATTTTGAAATTCTGTTTTCAACCTCAGAAATCGACTGATTTTCTCCAATTTATTGTATACTAGCCTATAAGCCCGTCTTAAAGACGGGCCCCATTTAAAATTGGATACTAAACTATGAAAATTATTAAATCATAGCGGTTCAAAGCAGTTTTGCTTAAGAAATGCTTTATAAAATACTCAAGTACACAATACAGCTAAAACTCCCTAAAATATCTCTTTTGAGAACAAATTCCTCTACAATCATATTTATTATATTATAGTTGCATGATGCTCTCCAGGGAAATCATGTAGTTCAAAGAATTTGTTTTTCAACTTGAGTAGAAATATTTTGACCTTACTACCTGGCAGAAATGCATTTAGTCATCTAAAAACCTTTCAGCTTCTGACTACTTGGCGGACAAAATTCACGCGGGTTAATTCCGCCAGTGAATCCTTATCCTTATGTAAAGATCATGAATCAAGACCGACAATACGACTCGAACTGTATATTGTAAATCTAATCAAGTTAATATTTTTTTTAGTTTTGACAATGAATATTTTTAACGTTGCTAAGAAATTTTTTAACGTTGCTAAGGAATTTTTTTAACGTTGCTAAGGACTTTTTTAACGTTGCTAAGGAATTTTTTTAATCTTGCTAAGGAATTTTTTTAACGTTGCTAAGGAATTTTTCATCTTATTACTACGGATTTGAATTTTTATTTCCATTGAAATTAATTGAATTACACAGAAAAGTATATCACAGAGTTAGTAAATCACGAAAAATCTGACTACGCGGGAGTCGCACAAAAAAAGGCCCTACTTAAGTAAAAAAAATTTTAAATTAAATTTTCTAAAGACGACGATCGCAGAAAAATCGTGACAAAATCGAAGTCAAGATTCCAGAAAATAAAGCTACGGGGTTACAAATAATACACCTCCTCCAACTCTTTCCCTGGAGGAAGTGTACCCAAAATCGACGCCACATTCCCTCTTTGCGCGGCGAGGGAAACTCGTTGACGGAGAAAATTGACAGCATTTAGCTGTCCAGTCGTGGAGGCAATCCTTTGCCCAATTTGCTCGATAAGGGCGAGTCCTTCCTGCCCCCAAACTCCAGTCGTTTCCATGGCAACCGGGACAAAAATGTACCGGTCCATCAGAAATGCGTACTTCTTCTTCTTTGCGTCCTCCGCCTTGCTGGCTGCAGCGCCCTGATGGCGCACCGTGTCGGGTAAATGGCTGGGGGCGAAGGTGTCGGCGCACGTAAAATCCCACACGAGGGACCTCCCCCTTGCCCACGGCACAAGCGTCATCCCATCAGGACGCTTGCCGTCCGTGGTGAAGCACCCCGCTGGCTCCCTGATGCAGGGTACCTCCGCTGATCGGAGGGCCCTCGCGATGACATCGTTGGCGGCCTCGTGGCGGGACCAACGACCGGCGCACCGGCGGCAAGAGAGACCGTGCAGGCCGCGGGAGGAGACCTGGGCTCCGCACGAGCATTTGTGCGGCTGGCAGATGTCGCAGCCGAGGCGGAGAGCAACGGAGACACGGAAGGTCTCGTTGGAAAGCAAGGTGCCGAGTTGTGGAGAAGGGAGGGTGTTGAGCCACACCCCCGCGTATTTGTTGCGGAGGGAGCGTAGTCGGGCAATATCCTCCGGGATAACTGCCAAATCGGAGAGATGGGACAAAGTCTTGTCCAGAATAGGGCGCTCCCACGCGGCTTGGACTCCTCTGACGGTTTCAGGTGGGAGGTCCGTGAGGCCGAGATCCGTCCAACGCTGCACCCCCTCTGCCATGGCGATGTCGTTGCCATGGAGATACTCCGGAAGGAGACGTTCGACGTGGGGCAGGACGCTGTGGGCGGCCGCAAGAAAACACGGTATCGCCACATCCACAGCGTGCCTGACCCCGAGGCCGCCTTCCTTCACCGGCAGGGACGACTGCATCCATGCAGCCTCCGAGAGAGTACAGTTGAGGATCCCCTCGAGCGCGTCCTTAAGGGTAGCGTCATAATGAGTGAGGGCATCCATTTTCCTCCATGACGGGGCGCAGCGGAGAAAGTAGATGAGCCGAGGACTTTTTTAACGTTGCTAAGGACGTTTTTTAACGTTGCTAAGGAATTTTTTTAACGTTGCTAAGGAATTTTTTTAACGTTGCTAAGGAATTTTTTTAACGTTGCTAAGGAATTTTTTAACGTTGCTAAGGAATTTTTTTAACATTGCTAAGGACTTTTTTTAAAGTTGCTAAGGACTTTTTTAACGTTGCTAAGGAATTTTTTTAACGTTGCTAAGGAATTTTTTTAACGTTGCTAAGGAATTTTTTTAACGTTGCTAAGGACTTTTTTAACGTTGCTAAGGAATTTTTTTAACATTGCTAAGGACTTTTTTAACGTTGCTAAGGACTTTTTTAACGTTGCCAAGGAATTTTTTTAACGTTGCTAAGGAATTTTTTTAACGTTGCTAAGGAATTTTTTAACGTTGCTAAGGAATTTTTTTAACGTTGCTAAGGAATTTTTTTAACGTTGCTAAGGAATTTTTTTAACATTGCTAAGGACTTTTTTTAACGTTGCTAAGGACTTTTTTAACGTTGCTAAGGAATTTTTTTAACGTTGCTAAGGACTTTTTTAACGTTGCTAAGGAATTTTTTAAGGTTGCTAAGGATTTTTTTAACGTAACCATAACCATAACCATAACCATAACCATAATCATAACCGTAACTATAACCAGAATCATAATAATAACCATAATCATAACCATAGTTTTTTAAGTTTTAAGGGTTTTGTACCCCTCTACTCTTAGAAGGTGCCTATTCTGTATAAAGCGTACGCATTTACAAATCATTAAGTACAAATCTAGTTACCAATGAATAGGAAAAAATATTTATTCTCATCAAGCTTGATTTAAATCCAAAATCTTGTTACGCTAGACGGTAACATAACTAGTAATAAAATTAGAACAATGTTTGTCAAGATGCATTAAGTAAATCAGATTTTGTTATATACGTGATTTAAGAATTAAGAAGACGTGTGTCAAAAATATATGTTGGGATACGATATATGTATCAAAATGCTCCTCAACTACTATTATTGAACATACCTGTTCACTTTCATTCATATGAGTGATCAATTCTTAATTCAATAATGAACGTTTCTTGATTTGAAATTAACCTAAGTGGAGTCGATTCTTAATTCTAAAACAGCCTGAGTGCACAATAAACTATAGCTTTTATTGGGCATTTAGGTTGTTTTAGAATTAAGAATCGACTCCACTTAGTCCTTTTTAGAATTAGTCCGACGATATAAGTAAATGTGATTATGATAACGGCGAAATTGTTTTATTTCCTATTGATTGTTTCGTATATTTCCTATTTCCTATATCTATACGGAATATGTATTTTGTAGCTGGGCCGAAATTAAATACTTTGGGATACAATTTAGAATTACTTTTCTAAATAAATTCAGCAACTATGTTCGGACCAATTCTATCCTAGAATATATCAAACCCCCAAGTATCGGATTAACCTTTGAATTGCAAAATTTACTGTCAAATATAACCCTTTGAAGGAGCGCCCAATGGTAAACTAGCCGCACTTAAACCTTCCCCAAAAGTCCAATTTTGCTCGGATTTTCAAAAAAATTACATATTCTTGATCCCAGATAGTTGCCTTATCATATCTAATATCAAACACAACTTCTTTTATTTTTTCAATATTTTCGAAAATTTCCTGACAAGGGTAGGACTTTGAAAAAATCAAAATTTCAAAAAAGTTGAGTTTGATATTGGGTATGGTAAACCAACTATCTGGGATCAAAAATATGAAAATCCAAGAGCTTGAAAATCCAAGCAAAATTGGAGTTTTGGTGAATTTTGGAACCAAAACAGGGTATTTTTCGTGTTTTTCGCAACTTTGAGTGGGTGCAAATGGGGCCATGGACAACATATCCAACATATCCAAAGGGCATCAAGATCGGTGAATTTGTCGGTGAGGGGTTGTC